ACACACCATTCCTGGAACTATGTAAAGCTGAAGGGATCACACGTCACTTCACAACATCAGATACACCACAGCAAAACGGTGTAGCTGAGAGGATGAACAAGACACTTTTGGAAAGGGCTCGGAGTATGAGGCTGAATGCAGGGCTGAGTAAAAGTTTCTGGGCAGAAGCAGTTAATATGGCATGCTATCTCATTAACAGGTCTCCATCTACAGCCATTGAATGCAGAGTTCCTGAGGAGGTATGGACAGGTAATCCGATTGACTATTCTGGTTTGAGAGTATTTGGTTGTCCAGCCTATGTTCATGTACAAAGTGGACATCGTTCCAAGTTAGACTCAAAGTCTAAGCAGTGTATCTTTCTTGGCTATGAGAAAGGTGTGAAAGGATTCAAGCTATGGGATCCTAATGCACGGAAGACCGTGGTTAGCAGGGACGTTGTCTTTAATGAATCTGACATGGTGAAGGCAAATAACAGTTCACATGCAGATGGCAGGAGTGAAGAAGGATATACTGTGCAGGTGGAGTCAGGTGAACCAGAAATAGCGGGAGGAAAGGAATCATCCAGTAACTCACCAGAATCACAGGAGACAGTAGAAGATACCTACACCATCGCAGAAGGTAGAGGAAAACGTACTCACAAAGCACCTGTGAGATACGGGTTTGAGGATATGGTTGCTTATGCCCTCACAGTAGGTACAGGCGATCCATCTTCTTATCAGGATGCGATATCTGATGCTGATAGTGATAAATGGATGTCAGCTATGATGGAAGAAATGGAATCCTTACAGAAAAACAGGACTTGGAAGATTGTGGAGAAACCTAAAGGGCGAAAGATCATTGGGAGTAAATGGATCTTTCGCAAGAAAGAGGCAGTGTCTAAGAATGAGCAGGTAAGGTACAAGGCTAGACTTGTAGCTAAAGGGTATGCACAGAAGGAAGGGGTGGATTATAATGAAATATTCTCTCCGTAGTAAAGCACACTTCCATTCGGGTTCTACTTGCCTTGGTAGCCATGTTTGATTTTGAGCTGGAGCAACTTGATGTGAAGACGGCGTTTCTTCATGGAGACTTGGAGGAACAGATTTTCATGGAGCAACCTGACGGGTTCAAAGTGCCAGGAAAGGAAGATTACGTTTGTCTGCTTAAGAAATCACTTTGGCCTTAAGCAATCTCCAAGACAGTGGTACAAGCGTTTTGACTCTTTTATGGTGCAAATTGGCTATTCGAGAAGTGAGTATGATTGCTGTGTTTATTTTAAAGTGTCAGATGATAATTCGATTATTCTTTTGATGCTTTATGTTGATGACATGCTCATTGCTGCTAAGGATATGCATAATATTGTCTCTTTAAAGTCCTTGTTGAATAATGAGTTTGAGATGAAGGATCTTGGTGCTGCTAAGAGGATCCTTGGTATGGAAATTGATAGAGATAGAAGTGCAGGTAAACTCTGGGTATCTCAAAAGAGGTATGTTGAAAAGGTGCTTGAGCGTTTCAACATGAATAAGGCTAAACCAGTGAGGACACCATTAGCTAGCCACTTCAGGTTATCTGAACAGCAATGCCCCACAAAACATGAGGAGATTGAGGAGATGACTCGAGTTCCTTATGCTAGCGCAGTTGGGAGTCTCATGTATGCTATGGTGTGTAGCGAGCCGATTTATCTCATGCGATCGGTGTTGTTAGCGAGATACATGAGTAATCCGAGGAAGGAGCATTGGAATGCGGTCAAGTGGATCTTTAGATATCTGAGCGGGACTGCAGACTTGGGTATTATGTTCAGTCGCGACGGAGGTTCGAAGGAGTTAGCGGGATATGTTGATTCAGACTTTGTTGGTGACCTAGACAGGAGGAGGTCTACTACAGGATATGTCTTCACATTAGCTGGTGGACCTATCTCATGGAGGGCGATGCTCCAGTCCACAATTGCATTGTCTACTACAGAGGCAGAGTACATGGCAGTTATAGAAGCTGCTAAGGAAGGGCTCTGGTTGACTAGGTTGGTTCGTGAGTTGGGTTTAGAGCAAGGAGGTGCGGTGTTACATTGTGACAGTCAGAGTGCCATACATCTCGCCAAGAATCAAGTGTTTCATGCAAGAACAAAGCATATAGATGTGAGGTTTCACAAAATCAGGGAGCTTGTGTCAGATGGCAGCATTCACTTGAGGAAGATTCACACGAATAGCAATCCTGCAGATTGTTTTACCAAGCCAGTCACTATTGAGAAGTTTGGGTCCTGTTTGGGCTCAATTAATATAACTCGCTGTTGAAGGTGAGGGACGCACTCAATAAGTGCGGGAGTGTACCTCTTATGGAGGTACGGGGATGAAGACATCTATATTTCATATTCTTTCACAGGTGGCTTTACAGAATCCAAGCCAAGGTGGAGATTATTGAGGATGATGTCTTGTATTCTGTTATATGAAAAAGCTAAATATTTTAGGCTATGTGGGCAATTTTGTAATTTGTGCCATGTAAGGTTTCGCTATATATGTTTAGGGCAAAACAGGTCTCTAAGTAGAGAAGGAGGGAGTGAGAAAAAGCGGCTGTACACTTATCTACGTTATTAGTGAAACAAATCTCATCTCCCCGTGGACGTAGGTAGGCGGAACATCTCCCCTGCTGAACTACGTAAATTCTTGTGTTGTGCGAATTTCCATTACTTTTCTTGCATCGTTGATAGGATCGAATTAGATATTCGACAGGTACTTTTTTACAGGACAAAAAAAGTTTAGGCTAGAATTGTCCCTCGACCTAAAGTTGACGTTCTTTTACGGAACAAAAAAAAGTTCATGTCAAAATTATCCTTCGACCTAAAATTGTTGCTTTTTTTTTAATTAACCCCATTAGCAAATCCAAGTTCAACCGTGTTCCATTGTCTGCAATGATAGATTTCTTGTTCCATATAGTGCATATCTATTTTTAAATCCTTGTAGTAATACTGTCGTTTCCACTGTTGTCTATGTTTTTATCTACTTATCATGTCACACAAACCGAAAAGACAAAGGATTTAGGTTCCTAAGCTTTTAATAACACTTGTGGTCCTGATTGGAAGGGAGGGATTTGACTAGAGATGAAGAAAAAAAGAAACAGAACAGCCATCACCAGTTATATGCTTCAAATGAGGTCTAAAAACCTCTCTTCATTTAGAACTTGGATGATTACAACAGAAAAAACCAACTGGCCATTAGCAACCAAGTTGGTATATAATTCAGAAAACAGAAGAAAGAGGACATTACGACCAACTTAGATGATTACAATAGAGAAAAACCAACTGGACATTAGCAACCAAGTTGGTATACAGTTCAGACGATAGACAAAAGAGGAAATTACAACCAACTCTAATGATCACAGAACATCCATCACAGCCAACAGTGATCACAACCATACGCCGTTGTTCCGTTAGTCTTTGCGGATAAATCCAGTAACTCTTGCTGCAAATCCTCAGGAATACCAGCTGTAAATAGAGCAGTTTCAGATGGATTGAGTTTAAGTCCAGATAGAGTCCTAGACCTGTCAAAAACAGAGAGCACAGCCTCCAAAGAACGTGCAGCAGCTTCCTAGCTCCGAACGATTCCATGGAGTCCACATCTATAGTAGAAGAACATCTCCAAATGATCTTATCAGCAATCTCTGAATTGGGATGGCTACTACGAAGTGTTCAACCATACCACTGTAAATCACATTTTCCTCGTACTCCAAAAAGCCACCCAAACGGAGTCAAATTGAGAAATGGCATTCCATCTGCAACAAAATAGCAAAAACCCATGTTTATAGTCACTATATGATGGTAGAACTATCTTTAAGTAACAACGGGGGCAAGCTCAAGTGAATATACGTAATACATAAGTATCAATTCACCAAACTCAATAAGCTATACACAAATTGCACAAGAAACATCAAATCCTAAAAAATTGGATGTGGTTAATATCGCGTAGAACATTTCATTTCAAATACCGTAGAATGAATGGGGATCGCAGTCAAATTTTCATTCAAAACCTTTTGTATGCTTAGCTGCACTCCACTTATCTAAACCATGAGATAGTAGGAACTAAAAAGTCTTTTTTTTTTATTCTTTTGCCCACGTCTTGACAGCTTACAATTTATACCAGAAGGATAAAGCCAAAAGATGCTGCAAATCAAGTTAGACTCTTGAAACAGTCACCAAATGAATCGGGAAAGAGCAAGGTGTGGAATTCGGAACCATTATAGTAGCCTAACAAGGAAATCAAGGTACACCCACATCGATAAAAAATACGCATCACATTGTTGGTGAATCGAGAACGCCAAGAATATAATGGCTTTGAATAACCGAACTGAGCTCCTCCTTGTGAAGCAATGAAGGTTTCGAGAACTCAAGGAAGAACCTTAGACCCCAAATCGTAAATCGTGGCAGATTCAGCCACGAATCGAGCAGAAAGTGAGAGATTTCAGCCATGAATCGAGCTACCTCCCGTGGAGCAATCAATATCTTGCCTTGTTGTAGTGGAGCAACCGAGAGAGATGGAGAGCACCCAAGTTCTAGGAAGAACCGTAAACCCCAAAACAAGAGAGATGAAAAGCACGGCACCATTCCATTAATATCCAAGGGGACATGGGCGTTATATTAGCACTGTTTCCATTCCGTCATCCACATCAGCCACTACATAGAATTTTCAACGTACTCATTGACGCAATCATCGGAACAGAGAGTAAAAATATCACACGAATATAAATTTGAGGTAGTGCTATAATTTATGATTTTTAGAGGCTTTTTATCTTTGCAAAGATCAACCACGATCAATGAAGCCTCTGATCTTTCCTCTCAACCCTCACACTGGCCGAGTCCATCCTCTTAAATTCGAAAACAACAAACATTCGAAAAAACTAAAAAGGCAACACAACCGACATTCCAGATAAAAAGATGTCTAATTAGTTTGACATCATTAGTATACGTTGATTTCCTTTCTCCTCTGTCTCCAGCCTTGAGCCATCACCGAAGATGGAGAAAACACTTGGAGTCGTCTGCAAGTGCCTCATCAATAGGTAACGTGACATGCGATTATTTACTGATAACCAATTACATCTCGACACAAATTAATTTTTTTCTCTTTTCCTCCTCCATCTTCACCCTCTGCTCTGCCTGGGCTTGGCTTATCTCCACCGCCCCACCGTGGCCACCGCGGTCCGCAGCAAAGCTGTTGAGCTCGTATCAACAACCATGGACGAGCCAAGACTTGAGCTCAAAGCTGTTGAGCAGCAGACCAGATCTAGCTATATCCTTGGCCAACCTCCGCTCTCCGTCGTCCCAGCGGCTAAGCCTTGGCCACAAGTGCTCGTCCACAGATGATGGAGATGCAGAGCAACGGACGGCCACGGACGGCCTTCGTTTATAGATCCGAGCACCGACCTCCGCGTCCACCCCTCAGTCGCCGTGTGTGAACAAGCCGTCATCGCTCGTGGCCAAAGCTCCAGATCTGGCACACATGGAACTGGTTCTACACAATTGTATTATGTTTTGGTAGCATCTCGTGACAGAACAAACCTGCACACCCTCATTCCATGGATATTGTGTTGAGTGGCGGAAGGAGAGAGACCAGCTTCAGCCATGGATTGGGAGATTTTTTATATGTTTCTCTAATTCCGCGTCGACATATACGTGTCGATTTGTAATTGATGAAGAGTAAAAAAGCGCACGCGACATCAACAGCTGGCGTGGCTCTTGCAGACCATTTTCTCCCGAAGATCAGACCCTGCATGTTTCGCACACAAAAGATGATTTTAAACCCACCATCGACTACTGTTACATCGGGAAAATTCAATTGAATGGGAATTGTAAGCAAAAAGAAGCAGAAGAGATGGATTTCCTTACTCCTCAAACTCGACCTCGATCGAAGCCATGGCCGGATTGGCAATGGCTTCGAAAGCAGTCTGAGGCAGGACCAAATCGGCGCCGGTGAAGGACTGCTTGGGGGCGGCGGCGGAGGAGTTAACCGAGAGGGTGTAGTCAACGATCTTGACCCGGATAGTGCCGGAGCCCGGTTTGCAGGATCCAGGGCCCTTGCTGACGCACCGCACGTTGTACGCCCGGCCGCACGCTGCCCCAAGGTCCCATAGCTTGTCGCCCACAGCCGCGAACAGGTTCCTCTCAGGGAACTGGGATCGGCCCTCACCATAGCATTCCGTCGCTAAATCAAGGGCAAGAAAAATGTTATATGGCAAGCTCTTTCTCTTTTTGTTCTTTTTGTTATGATTGGGGGGGCACTTACGTTCGTAGGGAGGGCCATAGTACGCTGCCGTGCCAACCTCGCCGAGAGCCACGGGGACGGTCGCCGTGAGCATGGCGGCAAGGAGGAGGAGATGGGATTGTAAACGACTCCTAATTGCCATTTTCTTTAATAGACTGGCTCCTGTTTAAAGACAAAGCTTCGTTTTTAATAATAATTAATGACACGCATCCCTGAAACGGAAAAGGGTGGCACAAGCCCGAATCGGCGACCCCACCTACTTTTTTTATTTTTTATTTTTTATTTTTTGGCTTTGTCATACTCTAATTCACAACTTACTCTCAGACTTTTGCTTTGCCTCCTTACAGAGCGTGTGAGTCGAACCCCACATCTGGAACTAAAAAAGTAAACCTTACCTCTTTTCTTATTAACCACACTAACAGAGCCAACATTTCACCAAAGATTAAAGGTAAATCTGCTTCTAAAGATGAAAGCTCAGACAAAATATATATATAAGCAGCAACCCTACAATCCATCCTCCCTCACTAGTCACTAGACAGTACAAAATGTCTATAAAGACAATTATTTAGAGGCAAAAAGAGTTCCAGAATAAATATTAGGAAAAATAACACAAATAATCCTTAAGTTTTGGCCCAATCTACAATATTGATCCCTGACCTTATATTCATTCAATGTAGACCCTGAATTTTAACCCAATGTGTAATGTGATCCCTTAACTTTTAATTCGTTTAATGTCATTCCTGAATTTTTGGTACATGTTCAACTTAGTCCCTAAACTATATGAAAATGTTTAATGTAGTCCTTCCATTAATTCAAGTCCAAGGACTACATTCATATAGTTCAAAGACTACATTGAATATGTATCAAAAGTTCAGATATCGCATTGGACAAATTAAAAGTTCAGGGACCACATTGCACATTAGGCTAAAGTTCAAAGACTAAATTGAACAAATTAAAAATTCGGGGACCTAATTGCACATTAGGCCAAAGTTCAAGAACTGTTTGCGTCATTATCCCAAAACATCCCAAGGAACTTGCAAAACCACATTCACCACAAAGATGGTGAGATTGTATGCATAGCACACATATTGGTTCAAAGAACGCCAAAATTTAAAACATTATTCGAATTTCAGAAAATTATACAAAAAGTTTAGCTTACAAAAATCTATGGAATATAACATGTCAATCTACGTTTCAACACTTGAGTATTGCAGAGGTTTCCGGAGTTTTATATTAGAAAAAAAAAGAACAAAGTGCATGAGCCACAAGATTTATATTGTGCAAAACGTAAAATTAAATCCAAACGGGTATTAAGGAACTGGAATTAAAAGTAGAACAAAAAAACTAAAACCAAGCACAAAGGCCAAGTGAGTACCCTGTTCACCAAACGATTGATTGAAGGATGCCCTCGTAACAGATTGTGGTACGAGCAACAATAACCAGAGTCCCTGCCGGAAGCAAAGGCCAAGTCGAACTCGGTTTCTTAGCAAAAGCAGCAACTGATAATGCTGGAAGAAGGGGTGATTTTAAGCAGGAAACAAGCAGCTGCAGTTAATAATTAGCTTAGTGTCAGAAAGCAATTCAAAGGTTCAGAAGAGCATGAATGCCCCGTAGAATATCTCTACTTTCAAGTTCATCGTCTTAAACATTCATATATCTCTCGACAAAATCAGCAGGTGAACATAAAAAAGCAATGGAACCACTAAAGCATCCAGAAAATGTCAGCTTCATGTCAGGAAAGGTCCAAATCACTCCATTGTATAGCTCTACCGCCTCTACTAAAGCACAGTCCTACATGAACTTGCATATCAGCCATCTAAAGAACTTGACTTTATCTAAGTTGCCAGAAGCAATGGTTCACATATTGCATCAGCATTGTTCACAGCAAACACCAATTAAACACCCTTGATCGTTGCTAAACCTCGTGCCTCCATAACAATTTAGAGTATGCTAGGTTCTGTATATACATATATCACATATTCATGAAAATTGATGTGATGCGGGGACTGCTTGGAGAAATGATGCAAAGTCAAGTAATATATCAACATTGTTCACAGCAAGATTACTCCATAAAATTTCGCCTTGTTTTGCAATGAAGATGGAAGATTGCAATAGTACGTAAACCTTTTAATAGAAGTAGGGGTATTCTAAGCCATCTTGTGTCATGAGTGTCCAACTTCAGTTTACAACTACAGTTTCTCCAGCATGAAAGATGTCAAATTCAAGAGCAAACAAACAAAAAATTCTGGAAGCAAACTCACCAAAACATGACGGGATTAGAGAGCTGAGGAATAACCGCCCAATGGAGAGAGACCAGAACCTGAGCGTCCAAAGCTAGGCATGTCATGTAGTTTATAATAGAACTTTGGAAGCACAGTCAATACAACACCCCATCCATCAGTGAAACCATAGAAAAGAAATATGACCATGGGCGATAGATTAACTAATGCCAATACTAGAGATGATGAAGGAAACAAGGTTTTTGCTGGTAATTCCAGCAACCCAAACAAGAGGTCTTACTAAAGCATTATGGAACAATCTACCAAACTACTATTAAATGTCGACCATAATATAAGGATCATCAGCCAAACTGAGCAAATTTTCTGGATTCCTACGTTCCTCATTCAAACAGGACACTTAAGCTACAAGGTTATTATATAAAGACAGAGCAATCAACAGATCCATTGCCACAACTTTGCGATTTATGGAGCTGCAGATCGCAGCTCCAGGAACTGGAAATCGCAGTTCTTGGACATTCGAAATAGCAGCTCATGGAATCCTCTTTTGTTCGCCACGCCCACAAAGTACGATGCACACATCCAATGAACATACCAGCAACTTCAACACACACACTCAGCGAGCCCACATACAGATGATATACCATTCACTCGTGGATATCGCACATGCATATATTAGCAGCTCACACAGGCCCATGCTTGCTCATTCTCACACGGAACTTAACTAAAAATCACTTGCCCAGCGTGCGAATAGCACTCTCACAAATGACAATTTCATCAACTTACCCACACAGCTCACGCCAACCATCCAGCATACATCAGCAACCATATAGAACACCCATTTTGCGTATAACACATCCCCAGTCCATATTCAAAGCCTGCCTACCTCCGTAGCATCTTACCCTAGCATTGAACACACACTCAGAGCTCACCAAGAACACCTATTCAACACAACCATTCATTGCAACAACACAAACTGAGCAAATTTTCTGCACTCCTACGTTCCTCATTCAGACTGGACATTTAAGCTACAAGTTTATTATTTAAAGACAGAGCAATCAACAGGTCCATTGCTATGACTTTGCAATTTATGGAGCGGCGGATCACAGCTTCAGGAACTGGAAATTCGCAGTTCTTGGACCCTTGAAATCGCAGCTCATGGAATCCTCTTTCGTTCGCCACACACACAAAGCACAGAGCAAGAGAGAATGGGATGCGAACCGGTTTAATCAGACTGGGTCCGAAGAGACGAGCCACACTGCACAACGCCTCGAGCGCGGTGCAACGGAGCAGCGAGAGCTTGTCGACGACCTCGATCAACGGCGACACCGCGAATCAACTAGGGCGGCTAAACCCGTCATCGGATCTGGGTGGCGAGGCGAGCACTGGCGAGCGGGACAACCGGCCTCTGTGTTTGGGGAGGGGTTGAGGCCGTAGGGGAGGATTGACCGGGTTGGCCGAAGGAACGGACAAGGGAAGAGGAGAGCTGCTCGGTCACCAGCCGGGAGGCAAGTACGTCTGATCATGCACGTCCACATCAGATCCAATGGGACAGATTCCGAAAAAGGTAAAGATACGTCACATGTGACGTATCAGTAAGAGGGGATTTCGTCCCTTTCGATTCCGTTTTTGTTTCAGATAATCAAAATTAATCAATTTTTTTTTTTAATTCGGTTTATTTCAGGTAGATTCGGATCAATACTAGCTGAAATAAACACTTCGCCTTTTATCCTAAAATCGAGCCACGAATAAAAAGCAAAACAAAAAAGAAAAAGAAAAAAAAAAGAAGAAATAGAAAATTGATCCAAACCAAATCGATTTATGAATACGGTTTCAATTTGATTCGAGCAAGTTTCGGTTTGGTTTAAGGGATAACCTTAGTGGTTCAGCTCGGTTCGGTTTTTGAAAACCGAACTGAACCGTTTACACCCGTAACAGTATCACAAATATATTGACGTGTGTCCGCCGTCATCGCAGCGCGTGGGATCTAAGTAAAAATCTTCTCTCTTCTTCTTCCCTCCGACAACGAGCCGACTGCAAGGCCCGGCTGCGAGTGACGACCGAGGAAGACGGAACCGTGCCCCATCCTTTTCCGCCTCCTCCTTCTTCTCCTTCTTCTTTCTTTTTTTGATAGGCGTGCGCTGCTCGCGAGGAAGTGTGCGTAATGTGCACGCAGAACGCAACAGCGATGCCAAGCCAACATATTTGACCACAGAGAGAGCGAGCATTCAACTGGATTTGCAGAGTTCCCATGACGAATGTTTCGTTTGATTTAGTCCCGAATGTCTGGTTTTGGTTTGGTCTGGTCCCCCAGGCAAGGCGCGTACCTCATCAGAACGCCGAAACCCCAGACAACGAGCCATGGGATCCCCGCAAGGCGAGGACGAGAGAACCCAGGCGAGACTCAATCAGACTGCGATGATGGCAACGATGCCACGATCTCTCTCTCACACACGCACACACATCGTGAATGCGGCAGCTAGTGACATTACCATCAAAGATCTTAGGTGGGATGCCTCCACGAAAGCCTGGGGAGCAAGCCGGGTCGTATCAAGAAAATTCTCGTAGCGGAAACAAAAATTAACGAATGGACTATATGTAAACCAATTTATATTTATTTCGGTAATTAATCCGCTTTCCTTACGTTCAAAAAGCCAGATAAAAAATCAGTAGTGCGTAGATCAAAACCTTCCGGCGCTAGAGCAGTCGCTCTCTCATCCAAAGTTTCTGAAGGCAGAGTAGGAGCTCAGCCTCATATCACAGATTTGCCAATTAGTTGGCGCTTTGCTTTTGGAGTTCCACAATTTGGAGAAGGGGAAAAACAACACTAATCCGAACAAGCCTCAATTGCCATGATTTTTCACAAACTTTCTATTAAAATGGAAAACAAGAGAGCATACATCATCACTAAGTCATGGACATCCACCACACAAGATATAACTAGAAGTTCCTCTCGGCGGGGTTCGGTCCGACATGTATGTATCCAGAGAGGGGCGTGAATTCCCAGTTTCGACAAACGCGGTGTGTGGTTCTCTTACATTTAGTCCTTCCTACTCCTACCCGCCCAAACGGGGGAGAAAGAGAAACGAAAACACGAGCGAAAAATGGCGAGAAAAACATGTATGTTCTTTAGTACGACGGAAGAAAACCACCTTCTGGAGCAACAACAATTGTAAGGCTACCTGCTATCAAAGTGCTAAAGTAGCTAGTATGACCAATGGCAAACTCTTTTAATGAAGCCTTGGTTCGGCCGTTTAATGCGTATAGACTGGACACTGTCGTTCAGAAGAATCATCCGTCTACTTCCTAATCAAAATCGCTAATGGAATCCTCACACCTCTACACTTCTGTTCATCAGCAAGCGGCAGTGGGTTAAACCTGACTGATGGACCTGCATTTGCATCCCAAGCTCTGATGCGATGCCCAATCGGTTCCTTTATATAACGTACCAGTTACACTAGGTGTTGGGGAGGAAAGAGGGAGCAGAAGTCCGGCATCATGATTTACCAGCGCCGTGAAACCTGACCTCGTTGCATCAAACACCTTTGATCCCAAGCAGCTTGAAAGAATTCGGACCCACTAGAAACACACGTCTTGGTGGTGGATACCGGAAGACCACTACTCCTTTATATGCTGTCCTTGGTACACCATCCTGGAACATGGGAGAAAGCATCATAGCTTCTGTGTGAGTGAGAGAGAAAGAGAGTATCCGACTGCAGAAACATTAATACTAGCAAGGACAATGCAGCGCCTAGAAACATGCCCATTTCAGGAATAAAAAAATAAAGAAGTGAATTTTAAGGGTGGGCTAAAGGTCGTGCAGGAGAATCTCCAAGTGTCTATATTCCGTAGAATCAGGTAATAAGTACCGACTGCATTTGTAGATAAATCCACTGAATATATTGATTATTTCAATTAAATGGTTCGATAAATGTCTATCAAAGACTCAATCATGGGATCAACATGCACTGAACTAAAGGTTCGTATTGAAATTTAATACGTATCCTAGAATATTAATTCAAAATGCAGAGAAAGGATACCTTGTTGGTGCTATTTGCCACATAATCTAAGAAACCTCAGACTAAACTTAAAAGAAATCCCATCAAGAAATACGCTAACCTTCCATTCCTGAAAGACACCAAATTGCCGGGCAATGCGTTCAAAATCTTGCTGGTGTTGATATTGAAGACGCACATCACCTTGTATATTAGAGGTCTTCAGAACAGCATCAGCTCCATTAATTGGTTTAGCATTTTTCAGAATTTCAGCAAAATGCTTAATATACTCATCCTGAGAAAAGTTGAAGACACGTCATTAGTCGGAGAATAATAAAAGGCATAGACACTTCTAGGAATCAAATTACAACAGATACCTCCATCAGGTAACTCAAGTCCTTGGATTTCCAGTCAACCTTTCATAAATGAAAGATAACACAAGGTCAATCACAAAAACAACAAATTTGCTAAATATGTAATAGATTAATTACCTGGACGTCATTCAATTTAATTGGCTCGAGATACTGTCTGAAAAATTGCCCCAAACTAGACCCCTGTGAGAATATTAAAATTGTCATAAACATTCATGGTATCAACTTCTCAGATAATGGGCATGCAAACATATAAGGAGTAAGTAGTCAAATCAAATCCTTTGCAATGCCAAAGTTGTACACATGCACTATCGTCTCCCATATCACCCCCAAGCCATCCAACATACAACTGCTGAATTCATATTAAAGTAACCCAGCACGTACATGATGTGGCATTTGCCGCAAAACCATTAAAAGCCCTCTACTATGAGCACGGCCGCGAATAATCAAATATTAATTTACATAATAGGTGATACTGGCAAAACTGGCAAAGTAACTGCACAAGACTGAAATGACCATAAATCAGAGACGCGTGTACAAAATCCACTTACATGTTCACCGAAATTATAAGTTCTGCACACTTCTGGCCGAATAAATTGTCGACCTTTGTGGTTCTCTTGTAGCCTCAACCAGTCGTCCCAGTAAGTAAAGCGTCGTCAAAGAAAATTTAGGGAGACATATAAGCTATAAACACATGTTATCTAAAACCGACATATATCAAACCCATAAGGATATGCCTTAGGCCACTTTGGGGATAATTCATTCCATGTAGATTTGGTCAACATCCATCCAAGTCCAGGAAAGAAATCAGATCGGTAAAGGATTTCTGCAAAATGTATTAAAAGATTACAGAAACACATATCTTATACAAGAAACAGTTGATAAGGTTGTGAAGATGAATAAACGAAGCTTCAAACTTGAATCCACGGTAAAATAACAACCAATAACAATAAAAACATTCCCCATACTACTGATTCAACGATTTAACTCCAGCAGCATCTTCAAATGATTTTTTCACATCTGGCAGGCAGTGAGCAAGTACGTAACTTTACCATTTATGTAAAGATCATCGTCCATTTATCCCAGGCAAAGTTCCAAATTTTTCGAGCCCATTCGAAAAAGAAGAGAAATGAGATGCATGAAGACATTTAATATAACACTCAGAACCACAGACTGCAAAAGACCTTTTTTGTTTGGGGCATAGACCTCATTTCTTATTTCATGGTGGGAAACTAAAAAGGCAGAGTTTATGAGAATTTACCTGGATCATGCACGAATTGCTTTTGCCCATTATCATTCCATGAGGAAACAGCCATAATGGTCCTGCCATAGTTTCGGATGGAAAATTGCAGTAAAGTTCAAAATGTGCTTTTTCCTCCATAGAACTTAGATTTGAGCCTAAACCCAATTTTTTTTTTTTTAAATTCGAGGTATTCTCTAATAGTTAGTTATTATATGTTTTAATTCAAACATCCAATTATAGCTTAGGCATTTCCAGAATCCATACTTATCTTTTTCCATGAGAGCTGCTGCAGCCTCAAAATAATCAAAAAAATCAGGTGCA